GGAAAAGAAAATATATTTCAGTGATGTCATGATTCAAAAGCCCAGGTCTCATCAACAGCCTGTTAAGAAAAATCCTCCAAATGGTGCGAGATTTCATTTTTGTCATTAGATATAGTCTTATTAGGGCTCTTATCTCACCAGACACAAGACCTTATACAGTGAAGTGCAGCATATAGTCCTATTCTCTGCACAATAAAGGAAAACTAAATGAGCAGAGTTGCAGAGAGTAACAGAATTTTCCAACATGTATCCCTCTATAAGGTTTAGCAACTTCATTCTAGCTCCCTCAGCGGAATATTCTAGCTCGCTCTCAGGCAACAAATTCTCATTTCGAAAGAAATTCAGCATCCAAGGTATAAAAAGTTAAAATCCCCAAATTTAACTTCTACACATTTGGAAATTAGCAATTTAGTGGAAAATAAAAGAACTTTGTAAATCTGTTATGCAAGAATTGCTCTTCTTATCCTCAATAGGGGTGTGCATTCGGTGCAAAATCGGTAATTCGGTGCAATGAATTCGGTTATTCGACTTATAGAAATCTAAACCGTTTTCAATTTCAAATTGCCCATAACCGAATTCATTCCGCAACCAATTTCAAATTCAAAAACGGTAATGAATTCGGTTAGTATCTTAGAAAAGAAAAGATTAATCAAACATTTGATAGAACACTTTCGAGTCTGCTCCATATGAACCACACAAAAGTGAAGTAAAATCTCTACCATATAAGGATGATATGCATCTCAATTGTGTCAAGGTCAAGATTTCCAGTATATTGTTCATAATGCCGACGAAATCAAGCAGTATATTTTCAAAATCCAGTGAAAATGCAACAAGATAACCTAGTAGTAGACAAAATTCTAATTCAACATAATGATTTTCCGATTGCAGAGCTCAATAACAAGTATATCGACTTAAAGCTTGCAAAAAGAATTAATATTTCGAAGCACCGGTGACATATATATACAGGCATATTAAAGAAAACGGAAAAAATTTAAGCCTTACCTCAAGTGGAGTCCTATTGATGATTTCAGAGAGGCCGATTACGTTTTCTTGCGATGGAGCTGTCGGGAGGGAGGTGATGGGAGTAACGGTGGTGGAAGCTTAGACAAAAGTGACCACCAGGGTGGGTTTAGTGATAGCGAAGGGCTTTACCCTAAGGCGCCTGTTTCTGAAAATGGATAATCTTTCATCTTCACACCTTGAACAAGTAAGGCTCTGACTCAATTTTCTGATTTATGCATTTTACGAATTTACTTTAGCCTAAACTCCATTGGAAATTTACCTAGAATTGTGTCTGCCACTAAGACATTTTAGTTCACCGTCCATCATGTTTTAATTAGTGTTGGGTATCAATATTTCATCTTGTTTTCAAAAACATCACTGTAGCATTTTGAATCTGAAAAACAAGTCCGTTTGGATTAGTTGTTTTTCAAAAACTATATGAAAAACTTTTTCTGTAGATTTTTTTGGATTATTTTTAGAGGTATTTTTGAAACATATTTTTGAATATTTTTAGAATATTATAATTTTTATATTTTGATATAAATATACATTTATGCATTTATAATACATTTATATTTACAAATGTATAAATGTATATTATTATAAATGTATAAATTATAAATGAATATTATATAAATGTATAAATTATAAATTATAATTTTTATATTTTTATATAAATATGCATTTATGCATTTATAATACATTAATAGATATTTATAAATAAATATATTTATATATTCATATAAAAATATATAAATGTATTATATTATATATAATACATAATATAAATATATTTATAAATGTATAAGTGTATATTATTATAAATGTATAAATTATAAATGAATATTATAAATATATTATAAATTATAAGTATATATTATTATAAATGTATAAATTATAAATGAATATTATAAATGTATAAATTAATATATTATAAATATATATTAATATTATGTAGAAATGTATTTATATAATTAATATAAATGTATATATGTATTGATATTATGTATAAATGTAAAATTAATATTATGTATATTAATATAAATGTATAAATGTATTATATTATATATAATACATAATATAAATGTATATTTAAATGTATAAGTGTATATTATTAAAAATGTATAAATTATAAATGAATATTATATAAATGTATAAATTAATAAATTATAAATATATATTAATATTATGTAGAAATGTATTAATATAATTAATATAAATATATACATGTATTAATATTATGTATAAATGTAAAATTAATATTATGTATATTAATATAAATGTATAAATGTGTTATATTATATATTATACATAATATAAATGTATATTATAAATATACATAAATATTTATATATTATGTATAAATGTACATTTATATAAATGTATAATATATTATATATTATATTATATATAATTTATATAACATATAATATTTATGTAAATATATTATAAATATATAAAAATATATTATAAATAAAATATTTATAATATGTATGTATAAATATATAATATTAGAAATGTATAATATATATAACATACATTATTATTAATATAATTTATGTATAATATACATAATTGAAATATACATATTAATATATATTAATATATATTATAAAACAAAATTGAATAAATGTATTTATAAATTTATATATAAATAAATGTATTTATATAAATATATAATATTTATTTCAATTGATATAATATATATAATATTATACATAATTGAAATAAATATATTTATATTAATATAATATATATAATATACATAATTGAAATATACATATTAAAATACATAATTGAAATATACATATTAAAATATATTAAAATATAATTGAAATATACATATTAAAATACATAATTAAAATATACAAATTGAAATATACTTATTAAAATATACAAATTAAATATACATAATTGAAATATATTTGGAGTTGTTTTTTATATATTGTTTGGATATGGTGTTTTTGAAATTGTTTTTGAAATACACATTTACTGTAGCATTTGGAATGTGAAAAACAATTTTTCAAAAACAGGTGCAAAAACACTCAATCCAAACGGACCATAGGAGTGTCTGCAGGTCGACATCCACTCATCCCTGTTTCCTTTAAAAGATCCAAAACATACTTGCGTTGGGACACAACGATGCCCTTCTTGGACCAAGCTACCTCCATCCCTAAGAAATATCGTAGTGTTCCCAAATCTTTGATTTCAAAGCTAGAAGCAAGACTTTTCTTCAGCCGTTCCATCTCAATTAAGTCATCTCCTGTGAGGATGATATCATCCACGTACACAATGAGTACTGCTATCTTCCCGTCCTTGGAGTGTTTAACAAACATGGTGTGATCACTTTGAGCTTGGATATAGCCTTGATCCTTTACCGACCTAGTAAATTTTTCAAGCCAGGCCCTAGGAGATTGTTTGAGACCATATAACGATTTTTTTAGCTTGCAAACTCTAGACTGAAACTTCCCTTCAAATCCAGGGGGAGAATCCATGTACACCTCTTCCTCCAGATCACCATTTAAAAATGCATTCTTGACATCAAGTTGTTGGAGTGGCCAATCAAGGTTTACTGCTATTGAGAGAAGCACCCTAATAGTGTTTAATTTTGCCACTGGAGCAAAAGTTTCAAGATAATCGATCCCGTAGGTTTGAGTAAACCCTTTAGCCACCAATCGAGCTTTGTACCGTTCCAATGTCCCATCGGAATTATACTTGATGGTAAAGACCCATTTACACCCTACCGTCTTTTTCCCTTGTGGCAGGTTTGTTACTTCCCATGTTTGATTCTTCTCAAGAGCATACATCTCTTCTTCAATAGCCTTTCTCCACTCTGGAACTTGTAATGCTTCCTGTACATTCTTTGGAATTTCCACAGAAGAAAGTTGTGAAGTAAATGTCAAGAAGGTAGGGGATAACTTTTCATAAGAGACATAGTTAGTCATAGGGTGTTTGGTACAAGAACGCACTCTCTTTCGAAATGCAATAGGAAGATCCAGATCAGCAATCTTTGAATCAGAGGAAACTTTATTTGATGACTCAAAAACATCAAAAACTGCCCTAGGTTCGGATTCCTTGTTGTGAAGAGAAGGGGGAGCTTTATCTTTTCCTCGATGATTTTTCCTGACGTAGGTTGTCAAGGTTTTTTCAGTTACATTCCCATCTCTTTCACTAAGAGAATTCGACTCTGTTATTGGCACTAAAGACAAGAGATCCTCTTCTAATCCCTGATCAATTTTTTCACGTTTTTCAAAATCCTTTTGACGGGCAAATTGAAGAGTGTCATTTGATTTTTCAGGATTATTATCTTGAAAAGATTCTTGTTGAGGAAATTGTGCTGTAGATTCTTCTAAAAAATCAGAAAAATCAATTCTCCTATCAACAAAATTTTGATCAGAAATTTGATTTTCAATACGAAAAACATCATCATCTTCTACAGGTTCTTCTACATACCGAGTCCCCCCCTGAAGAGGATCTCCAAAGAAAGGTTTATTTTCAAAGAATGTTACATCCATGGTTACAAACATTTTTTTCGAAATGGGGTCAAAGCATTTATACCCCTTTTGCGTGGGTGCATATCCAACAAAAATGCATTTTCTTGCTCGAGGGTCTAACTTACTTCGACCTTGTTCATGATTGTGAACAAAGGCTATGCACCCAAACACCTTTAATGAGACTTCATATGCTAATCGAGACATGGGATAAATTGTTTTGAAAAAATTCAGAGGAGTTTGGAAATTCAAGGTTCTTGAGGGCATTCTGTTTATGAGATATATAGCAGTTAAAATTGCTTCGCCCCATAGATATTTAGGAACATTTCTTGAAAAAAAGTAATGCCCTCGCCACTTCTAAAATATGTTTATTTTTTCTTTCAGCTACCCCATTCTGTTGTGGGGTATCATTGCAGGAGCTTTGATGCACAATCCCTTTTTCAAGAAAAAAACTTCCCAAAATTTTATTGAAATATTCTTTTCCATTGTCACTCCGAACAATTTTGATTTTTTCTTGAAATTGTGTCAAAACCATGCTGTAGAATTTTTGAAACACACTTGCAACCTCTGATTTCTCTCTTAACAAATACACCCAACAAACTCTTGTGTGATCATCGATGAATGTAACAAACCATTTTTTTCCAGATGAAGTTGAAATTCTAGAGGGACCCCAAACATCAGTATGTAATAGAAAAAACGGTTTTGAGGGCTGATAAGGATGTATAGAAAATGTAGACCGATGATGTTTAGCCAATTCGCAGATTTCACATTGAAAAGAAGATGAATCTTTATTCTTAAACAAATCTGGAAATAAGTATTTCATGTAATAAAAACTAGGATGTCCTAGTCTAAAGTGCCATAACATAATCTCTTTATTACTAGTAATAGAGACAGACCCGTAACATGTGTTTTTGATTGGTGTTGTCATATCTGATCCATCTTCAAGGAAGTAAAGTCCCCCATTTTCTCTAGCACATCCAATCATCCTCCCCGTGGTCAGTTCCTGAAACTCACAAAAAGAGGGGAAAAAATTAATCCGACACATGAGATCCCTAGTTAATTTACTTATGGACAGCAAATTGCATGATAACTTTGGAACATGAAGAACTCTATGAAGTGTTAGAGTAGGAGAGATGACAACGGAACCTATGCCAGCTATGACGGATAATGATCCGTCAGCAACCTTGACCCTTTTATTGCCTGCACATGGACTGTAGGTAGAAAATAATTGTGACAAACTAGTCATATGGTCAGTGGCCCCAGAATCAATAACCCATACAATTCGTGGACAAGATGCATTTGATGTTTTACATGAAAGAGCAACAGTAAAAGGATTACCATTTTTAGCAAAAGAACAGAAAGGAGTGAAGCTTTTTGGCTCAGTGACTGAAAATTGTGGAGACTTAAAGAGTTTGTATAGTTGGCTTAATTGTTCCTTTGTGAAGGCTGGTGTCTCAGAGTCAATTTGTTGCTTTTGAGAATCCTCATTCACAGTCTGCAACACCTTGCTATCACCTCCATTTTTCTTCTTGAAATTCGATGGTTTCCCATGTAATTTCCAGCACGTGTCCTTTGTGTGCCACGACTTTTTACAGTGTTCACACCAAGGCTTCCTTCTTTTATCTCCGTCCAAATCTGTCCCCTTAGAAACCAATGCTGAAGTCTCAACTTCATCCTCTGCCTTGGACTTTAGCATCACCTTACGCCTTGATTCTTCTCTTCTGACCTCAGAAAATACTTCACGAATGGAGAGGAGAGGCTTCCTGCCCAAAATACGACCTCGCACCTCATCAAGTTCTTGATTTAGTCCGGCCAAGAAGACATAGACTCTGTCGTTCTCCTCCCGTTTCTTGTATCGAACACTGTCTGCACTGCAGTCCCATTCATCCTCATAACAAAGATCCAATTCCTGCCATAAAGTTACCATCTGATTGTAGTAGGTTGTAACATCTCTATCTTCTTGTCTTGATTTCCACAATTTCGTCTTGAGATTGAAAATTTGAGACGAATTCTCTATATCGGAATACATATCCCGGACAGCGTCCCACACATCCTTGGCTGTGGGCAGAAATAAGTGTGGCTTTCCTATCGCTGGTTCCATAGAGTTTATCAACCAAGCGATAACTAGAGAGTTCTTTGAATGCCATCTCTTCAAATTGGGATCTTCAGCAGCTGGTTGTTGAATTTCTCCAGTAAGGTGGCCGAGTTTACCTCTGCCATCGATAGCCAGTTTTACGGATTGAGCCCATTCCAGATAATTGGAACCATTTAATTTATGAACGGTTATTTGTAGGGAAGAAGAATTTGAAGCGGAGTAATCTGTAGTTTGGATAACTACTGAAGATGAGGATGAGTCTTCTCTTGTGTGAGCAGTCGATCCAGTCATGGCTGCTCGGTAGTTCATGGCAGGGATTGGTACAGAGCCGGAGCTCTGATACCATGTAAACTTTAAAAGAAAAGAAAAATGAACAAAAAACTCTACTTTTCTTTATTTTCCCACACCTAAATATGCTTACAAGGTAGGCATTTATAGGACAACCCTATCATAGTTCTGCCACCACTTAAGGTAATAGAACCATGATTTTAGGGATTACATAATCAACTCATATCCTATCTATTCAAACCTGATTGATCATAAGCAATAAAATCCCATAATCATGGGAGGTAATATCTCTCATAATCATGGGAGATAATTATGGAAGATAATATCTCCCATAATCATAGGAGATAATATCTTCGACAATTTCATTGTACAGCCTTGCAAAATGCTAATCTGGTCTCCAGTGAACGATCTGCTTTATTTTTATCTCTAAAAAGCTCCACAAATGTGGCCTTTATTTTAGTTTTAACAGGTGTATGAAGTGCAAGCATGCGGTGGCTGTACCTTTAACCTACGCTTATGATGTTAAATAGCAAGTCTTCTTAAAAGCTTAAACAATGGAAAAGCTTACTGGTTATATTTTTGACATTTCCAGTGTGGAATCAAGTGATTACAGATATTTACTATTTTACAAGCTCATGTATTTCATAGGCAATGCTGTTAAAGTAAATACTAAACAAGGTTGTAAACTGAAGCTAATGTAATTACTTTCTACTTTCTTTTCTCTGAAGGCTTAATATTGTACTGATTTTACTGATTACTATGCTTGTGGTTCTTATTACATTGTATGGATTGTTCATTGAGTCATACAGACAGTAGATCTTGATTTTCCAAATACAACTGAGAGTTACAAACTCTATTGCCAGGTTACTGACTGACCAAAATCTACATTTATTCTGTACTTGTACCCTTTTTTCTTCTGCTACTAATTGTGACTTTCTTTTAACAGAGAGTAATTGCTAGTGATATCAAAGAATGTGTATGTCGAGCTCCTGATACTCCATATGATGGTTAGTACTGCTTTGGTGCATTGTTTGAACTTCATTTGATCTTGCATTTATTGACTCATTATTGGGAATATATATAACCTAGGATAGAAGAGTATAGAAAGTGTACATACTATTTTTCAGGGGAGAGCCTGGACACAGTAAGAGCCAAGTCTGAGCACTTAGAAAGTCTACATGAACAAGGGCAGCTACCAATAATATCACTTGTGAAAATTTGGCAGGGATAGAGCAAACTTAAACATTCCTGTATTACAAGTCGTCATGATCCAACAAAAAGCCTAATGCTTCTCTTTAGCACATGCCATAATCTTTTGCTTTATTATTTAATCCGGCAGACCCACTGCCGACTTCCTTCCTATCTTTGTTCAGGAATCTTGCTAATGCATTATAATTAGTTGATCATGTAAGATGTGCTCCTATTTATAGTGGTTTCATCATGTTAATTGTAGTGCAATAACAAAAACACTTACAAATAATCTTGGTCTTTTGTTCTTTTCAGATAGTTCATACTCGAACATACCAATGACATCTTATGAGCTTCCTGATGGACAGTAAGTTTTGTAATTAAAGCCTTGTTTCTATCTTGAAAGTTTTTTACAGGATACAGACATTTTTAGAATCTGTAAGTGACACATCTGTAGACACCAAATTTTGGTGTAATTACATTTTTAGTTTTATCATTTTAGTTTTATTTGATTTTTATTTTTAGTTTCTAGTTTTATTTTTATTTTTAAGTTTTTAGCATAGAATTTCTTGGAAAATGAATGAAAATGAAAATAAAAAGAAGAGAAGAAAAAAAAGAAAATTGCCCACAAAATATGTTTTATTTCTTCTAAATTCAATCTTTTGGCATTTTGTTTATTTTTATTAAGTTCTTTTGAGAAAAGAAAAGAAAAAAGGAAAAAAGGAAAAATGAAGAAAATTTGAAAAATGGACATTTTTGTTGTTTTTATTTGTTTAATTTGTTTTTTTTATTTATTTGTTTTCATTATTATTACATGGTTTTGTCATTTTGTTATTATTATTATTTATATTCTGTATTTATTAAGTTAAAAAAAAAGAAAAAAAAGCTTCGTGCATGCAAGCTGCGTTTTTGCAGCTTGCAAAGGAACTTTGAGGCAGCTCCTTAGCTGCAAATACAGAGGAAGTTGTTAAGGGTTTAGGAGGGGGTTTCTGGTATAAATAGAAAAAGAGGGGACAGCCGCAAGAGGGGGGAAGGGATAGAAAAACGCAGCTTTTGAAGGAGGTTTTGGGGAGAGCATTAACGGGCTAAGAGAAAGGGAGTCTAAGGAGAAAAAGTGAGAAAAATCGGAACCAAAGGGGGCGACGGTAGAGGGAGAAAACGGGAAGAGGCAGAGACCAAAGAAAGTGAGGGCTGAAAGGGAAAATTGAAAACAACCGAGAGAAAATTTTTGAGGGTTTTACGGCTAGAAAAAGGGGCGGCTGGAAAATCTGGAGTGAGCAAGAGAGAGGAAGAGCGTGAGAGATAGAAGGAGCTGGGGTTTAACAGAAAAAGGGGAGGTTTTGGGTAACAAAGGCTGAGAAGTTTCAACCACCACAAGGAGCAAGGAAGGAAGAAAAGATTTCTGGTTCGTCGGAGCAAAGGAAAAGGGTCAGAAGGAGGTAATTGCGTTATCACCATCGCTTCTTCATTGATGCTTCTTTGAAGGGTTGTCCGAATCATCCGAGCCCTTTCTCCATTCTTTGATTAAGGTATCGTATTTTCCTTTTAAAGTTGAAAGCTCTCTTCTTTAGTTGTTTGCTCGTATTTCTTTGCCGTGTACTGATTCTGTTTTGCTCCAATATGAATGATGGCTTTTGTTTGAATACCAATAAATCTGGAATTTGGGAAATGAGTTGGTATCTTATATGTTAGTGTTTTGGTCGGAGGAAAATTGCCGAAGGTTTCCAGCTTTGGGTTGTGGTTCGGTTTTAAACTAAGTTTTGAGGTAGAAGTCTAGGACCATTTCAGATTGCTGAATCACTCTTGCACACATATTTTCCAGAATTTTGCATGGCTTCCGTCTGGATTTTGTTTGTTTGGATTGGGGTGGTTTTGTAGTTAATTTGCTTAGTTTAAAGCTGTGATGTTGGAGTTGAAAATATCTAATAAAAGTTGGGTGTTCGAATTGGAAGCTTGAATTAGGAAACAAAAATGCAGCAGGCATCACTTTCGTTTGCTGAAGTTTTCATGTTGTTTGAAATGCTTGATTTGTCCGTTGCTCAGCTGAGATGTTGTGAGAGTGTTTGGGAGTTTAGTAGTAGAGACCAGCATTTTTGCTTAGTCCTTGGTTGTCGAAAGAAGATTTTTGCTGCAGTTTCCTTTCTTTCTTTTGTTACCAATCAAACCAGATTGGTTATCTTAATCTTGCAGACAAAACCTCATCTTTTGATTTGGGTCAATAATTTCTGGTTTTGATGAATGTGTTTGTATGAGGAAATGGATAGAGTAGCTGCTGGAAATTGCAGCAAACTTGGAAAACAAAAGGAAGCATGTTTCGTTCTTTTGTTGCAGAAGTCTAAGTCTTTACATGGCTGCATGTTTTTGCATGAAAGACTCCTCAGAACTGTTTTGTTTAAAGGATTGTGTTTCTGTGGCTTCACTTTGCTATTTATTTGGAGGTCAAAATGGTGCATTTCATTGCTTAGATTCCTGATGTTTGAGCTGAGAAAATGGTACTATTGCTTACGAAATTGCAGCAGCAAATCTTGATTTAAGATAACTTGGAATGAACCAGAAATTTCAATGTTTTTCCTTGGTCTGAATCTTCCTTTCACACATAGTATCATGGTGATTGAGTGAGGGTCGTTGCTGTTTTTTTGTTTGAAGAAACTTGCATCTGAGAGCTTAACGCTGCAGAGAGGAAAAATTCTGGAATGAACATTGCAGTAAAAATTGTAGAAGCAAAAATGTAGCAAGCTTGCACTTTCCGTTTGCAGAAATCTTCTTGAGTTTGCATGAAAGATTGCTGGAATTCACATTATCTTATCATAATTTGTTGGCTTGTTGAATTCTGTGTTAGTTTTTAGTTTAATGCCGATGGCTTTGATTGATTGGTGAGATGTTAGTTGCATATTAGGATTGTATTTGAGAAGTTTAGCATGTTGCAGATGAAAGGAACCAGCAAAACAAAGAGATTTACGTAGCATGCATGAAATATATTCTAAAAATTGCACTTTGACCCCCCAAGTTCCCCCTTATTTCACTATGACCCAATCAATTAGAGAATTTCATCAATTTGGTCCTTGTTAATTTTAATTTGTGCAACTTCATTGCTTGTTTGCTTCAATTAACTACTATGCTTTGTTTAAATTGCGCTTAAGTTATGACTTTAGGGACTTTATGACTAAGTGAGCTTTGTTTTGCACATTTCTTTTATTTTTTCTTAAATAAAGTGGTGCATTGACCTTTTTATTATTTTGGAGGGTAATTGAATAATTTCACTTCATTGAGACCCAATTGCAAGGGAGGTAACCTCTATCTCCTTGATTTTCATTTCTCCTATGTGATCCAACGTGCTAAGTGTGAATTGCATGCTTACGTTGCTTTCCTAGCCTTTCTTTAATTTCTTTCATTTACTTCATTTACTTTTGCTTTTTATTTAAGTTATTCTTTATGGGGTATGTGTACACCTCTTGGTTTGTAATAGATAGGGCTTGGAGGAGCATTCGATGAAGATCTGTTGAAGACATGTGCCTAGCTAGCAAATGTAATAGTTAGGGCCTTAATTACCTTATGTGTCTTGCATGTCTATGTGCTATATGTTTAATCGCTTTCTTAGGTTTTGGCATCTAGATATGCATGTTAAGTGTTATGTGCTATGTGATTGACATGTCTACTCGCTTTCCATATCCCTGAATGAATGTGATGGATGAATGTACGTTTCCGCTAGTCCAACGCTAGTCGGAATTCATAGAATGGGCTAGTCCAACGCTAGACCCTTAGGGACTTCCCCTCGTTAGTACATATTTGCATGTTCATTACATGTCATGCATTCTTTTTAGTTTTATCATTTAGCATGCTCCTCGAACCCCTTTTCCCTCATTTTAGGATTTTTGCATTTCATGCTAGTTATAGGGTTCATTTGCTTGAGAGTCCCCTTAAATATGGGATATAGACGAGTGTGGCTTTTTCTAAGCCTTAGCACGCTTGTATTCCCTCTATAAAAGGGCAAATTGAGTCACGATTTAGGTCTCCCCGTCCCAATATGCATGAATTCCCTAGGCTCATGCATTCTAAGTCCACTCTATCATTACACTTTCACTTTTCCTCCCATTTGCACACGTACACCTTTTTATCCCTTCACTTGCACATGAACACTTTTCCTCCCATTTTGCACACGTGCACCTTTATGTTTCTTCACTTGCACGCGAACACTTTTATCATCACTTGCACACATGCACTTCATGTTATCATTTCACATACCGTACCTTACCCACTCACGTGCACATTTTCATTTACATATTTATTGTCTTTTATTACTTTTTCAAACTCATGTCCTCACATTGCATACATGCATTCCATTCATTTGCATCCCACTCGCATTATTCGTGACTTCTTCAAAGGATTGTTATTGGGCTTCACAATTAATGTGATTGGCACCACTCAACCGTTGAAGAGAAATTTCCCCCAATACCCCTAGGTCTAGGGTTTGCATTCATGTAGCACATCCAAATGTAATAAATTCTTTGGTTAAAACAAGAAAATCTTTGATTAAATCACGCAACTAGCCTTGGCTAGGTCGAAGGGGTGCCTTGGATTTTATCCTTGCCTTCCCCTTTGTCAAATGTGACTCCCGAACCTTTTTCTTTGGTTTACGTGGACTAGGAGTCGTTTAAAAGGGGTTTCTTACTACTTTTTCCTATTTTTTCTTTAAAAATTCATTTTTGGTGACTTGGTACACCTTAACTCATTACCAAGTGGCGACTCCAATTTTTTAAAACCCTTTTTAAACTATAATTTTGGGTCAAATCGTCGCATTCTCAAACCCCCATTTAGACCCATTTTTCTTTTAAATCACAATTCATTTTCCAATCAAAAAATACATTTTTTAAAATCATTTATTTATTTATCAAAAAATGGGGCGCGACAACATCTTAATGAGTTGTTCTTGTTCCATTAACTTTTTCATGATTTACCTGGGGTGATATATAACAAGGCCATTGATAATCTAGGTCTTACCGCATCTCATAGCTTTCTCTGTACTTCTATTTTCTTACTGGCACTTCCTTTTCATCTAAGTTCATTGTTTATTAATCCAGGACAATAGAAATTGGAGCCGACAGATTCAAGGCACCTGATATTCTTTTCAACCCATCCTTGGCTCAGGTGGTTTTGAAACTTTTTCCTATGCCGCTTTTCCATTTATAATCATGAGTGCAAATTTGACTCTTCAGGTTTACATAATCTGCAAGCCTTTTGGAGTATTTTTTTTTACGTGCTATTATTTTGAGCTTAGTATTAAGAGATTTTTGTGCTTTTGCTCAAGGGGGAAGTATAGCGTACATGTATCCCAGATTGAAAGAAAAAAATGTATTTTTCTTTGCATTATGCTTCACCTCTCGACTCTCCCTTCTCCCCTATGATTTTCATCATGTTTGTCTTTCACTGACTTGACAAATAGTTTAAGTATCTACATCACATAAAATTAGTAGAGTATCCTGAACTTATATATATTGCACAGCACGAGCTTACTAAGATAATCTAATCCTTGAATGATATGCATGTTAAAAATTATAAATTTGTTTGACCAATTCTCCGCCCTAAGAGTTGAAGCTTATAGTTAGATTTGTAATTTTATATTTTTCAGCCTTAAAAGTTCTTCCAATTGGATTTAGTTATTTTCATGTTCTCAGAACATGTGGAGCTTGTCGTAACGTATGCAGGTTAAACTTTTACCCTTCTTCTCTGCTTTGAAATTTAAGCGTCATTAGAATATTCTTAAGTATGCAGATCTCGTAAACCATGCACGGTTGGAGAATCATAGCTCAAATTGTTTGGCTCAACATGGATATCCTTTTCTTGGCTAGGCTTTTAGGACTTTATTAATTGCCATTGGAAAATGAAGATGGTCTGAAAATGCACATCTAGCAAAGAATTAAGTAAGGGCTTGTGGCAGTTTCCTGCTCTGGCCTTTAGGAGGTCTTTCTCATCATTTGTTGGGACATTCATTGTCCAATAAATCTTGCTTATAAAGACAAGAGGCGATGAGGTTTGCTGCTATATTAGACTTGTTTAGCACTGGCCGGAATTGCCTAAACATATGCCTCATTGCTTGGGCTACTTTTAGAGACCTTTATACTGATGAGTTTAGATTAACTAATCTACTGTCTTGGTTCAAATTATCAAATAACTAGAGAAACAAATGATGGATTTTGACAAATGATGCTGATGAGTTTTTTTGACATATGATGCATTTTGAATTCTCTTGATTGCTTTTGGTTTGATTTGAAATTCCATTTACTGACATGATCTAATCTGTCAGACTATTCCTGGTATGGAGAATTTTGCCGAGACTGTTTCTTCTGTTCGTGGCCTGCCACAAATGGTAATTCCTGTCATTTTGCACTTTTATCCATGAGCTGGGGATCTAGCTACCATTATTCTCTTTTTACTTTTACAATATATCCTTCTAAAATTCTTCAGGTCTTGGAGAGCATAAATAAGTGTGATGTGGATATTAGGAGAGAACTCTTCAGCAGTATACTGGTAAATTTTCAACCCTTCAATGTGAATAAGTACCTTAATTACACCAAAATGTATAAGGCTGTTATCTAGACTTTTTTTTTTCTGTCGACAGTAAATTATTTTTTCCCCTGTTGATTAGCTAAAATCTCTGCAATTTTAGTGAGGTAAACCTTGTATGTAGTGCTTCATGTTGCAGCTGTTCCCCTTTTTCCTTGGATTTCCAGCTTCCCATATATTCTCTTCATAGTATTTATGCATAAATTGGCTGTGTCCCAATAAATTTGCCCCTCTCCACAAACTCAGACATCTCACTTAATTTCTACTTTTTCACTCTGATGATATTCCTATAGTAGCAGGATATTATTTTTTGTCCTTTTTCCAGTGCAGATGCACATCAAGGATTCCTGCTGTTATATTTAGCTTTTGCTAACTTCTTTTTAAGCTTGTTTAGCTCAATGACTCTTAAAGATGATGACTTCCACTCAAGTTTCTGTTCTGTCCCCCAGATCATCGTATTTGCATAGTTTCCTTTTGTGTTGTCTTTAGGAAACATATCTTGTACTTAGAAGAGTGGATCATATAGTATCTGATTTGATTTCAACCTTACACAGCTTGCTGGTGGCACTGCATCCATGCAACAGTTAAAGGAACGTCTGGAGAAAGATTTGCTAGAGGTAGGTTTTTTTCAGTCAGATTTCTGTATTTAAAAGAAAAAGAAGTCCTTGTTCTGGTACTCTCCCTAAAAGAGGAGAGGGAAAATAAAAAGGAAACTCAGAAGCCCAAAGTTGTGTGATGAAGGAAAAGATGAAAGAAAGGGAAGGAAGAAAGATCAGACATGCGGCTATCTGGTTATTTCTGATATCAAATGCTTAATGTTGAGAGAATACACAGCTTATTGCAACGTGAAAATTCAAGTTTGTCCAGTGGTTTTAGTTAATGCTTGAGATTTTTCTTATGTCTGGGTCTACCGTTTGCAGGAATCTCCTCAAGCAGCTAGAGTGAAAGTTTTGGCAAGTGGAAATGCAACGGAAAGGAGATTCAGGTAGACTAACTTGCTTGATGGGAAAAAAATTAAAAAAAATGAAAAAAGGAAATCAATGTGTTCTATCTTCTGCTTGTGTTGATGGGTGGATGTAGATTGCTGTTGTCCTTTCCTTCCCATGTTATTTTCATTTCTTCAAGCACCAAATTTTCTGGTTGAACATTGTGAATTCTTACATAAATCGGCATCTCTTTGGGAGGTGGCTCAATAGAAAAGCCATTAGGTTACAGCATTGATGTTACGTGTCACTTAGGAATTCGCCATATGGAGAGGGTAAATCATGGTGGTAACTGGCAGATATGCTTTTGTTTCATTCCTGCATTCCTTGCCTCAGTGCTTCCTCCGAAGTTGCATGTTTGGACCAAATTGCTTCTGCTTTATGATTGAAGAGGATATTTCTTTGCATTCATGTTAGCATACCAAGCGTTGACTAACTTGTCGCATTCAGTGTTTGGATAGGTGGGAGTATATTGGCGTCACTTGGTTCCTTTCAGCAAATGTGGTTTTCAAAATCTGAGTAAGCTTTTGCATCCACTCTACCTCTCAATACTCAAACTTTTCTCCTTTTTTCTCCCCATATTAAGTCTTTTGTCTCTTGATTAACAGGTTCGAGGAACATGGAGCTTCTTATGTTCAAAGAAAATGCCCGTAAGGAACTTTACTGGTGCGGTCAATTATCACATTAGATAGACAGAAATTCATGGAGCTGACTTCACTTCGATTAGTTTGCTGACGGTATGGGTTGTTCGGTTTTAATATCCTGCTCTATAGGAGTCCAAACAACAATGTACTATATATGTATTGTACCTATCGTTGCTAATGTTGTACAATTACGTTACGTACTGGGGATTGTAATATACTCCGTACTAGGCTCGTGTAGCAACATTATTGACTTGCTATCTAAGTCACCGTGAAGAATTTTACGATCGCTGACATTTTAAAACTTGGGTGATTTGTTGCTGTCTTCCAGGAGTACTTAGTGAAAGAGGGATTAAATTTCTGCGTGTTAAATTTAATAAAAGTCTGAAATGATTTGGTGCAAGTGCAGCCTTGGAAAAAAGCTAAAGCCTATTTCTCCCAACAACTAAAAATGTACTAATGGTCATGCTCTGGTTCCAACGTCTAAGAAACTGCCATTTTATTTCCAATGCAAGCCAATGTTCTTAAGGGTATGTTTGGTTCCCTATGGAATTAGGATTTAGAATTGGAATTGGGGTCCTAATTCCAATTCCATTGTTTGGATTCTACTTCCCTCACTTAATTAGAATTGAATCTGAATTCTATAGGAGTCCAATTCTATGAATTGAATTCTTTACTCGATCAAAAGAATTCTAATTCCAATTCCACAACTAAATGGGTTCACACGCGGATCTAGTATGGGTCAAAAATTAAAATCGGGTCAAAGGATATTGGCACCCCTTTCTACCTATGTAACTCACCATTTTCCTCAGCCGCTAGTGCTCTGCTCTCCACCATCACTTCCACCTGCAACCCTAATATCTTACCTTTCCCACCACCGTCTTCCCCCCTGCCTTCCATTTCTCTGGCCACTTCCTCCATCCTTCGCCACTCTCACCACTCGTCCACCCCAAATTTCAGACACATTTAGGGCTTGTGAGACACCCAGGAAGGATAATGCGAACGCAAAGTTGACCTCCAACAGCAGAGGAACACCTTTTGGTCTCTGAGATTTTGCCGCTACTATTGCCCCAAATCGAAATGGCCTGTGCGGAACTTTGAGCCTAAAGATGTACTAACACATGGCAACCTCGAATAGAGTACCAGTGGTTCGAGCTAAACACCCATCATATTAAGGAAATAACAAGCCAAGTTGGTAAGAGTTGTTTCTTAATTTTTCCAGCATCAAAATAATCTACTATCAGAATAATCTTTTAATCTTTCCAGCATCTTTCTAGCACATAATTATTTTTTGCTTAAAAAAAAAAAGAAAATTATGATTAGCCAAGAAGGGAAGGGAAGGGAAGAGAGGGGGGGTTTGGTTTGGTTGATAATGAAACCAATTCTATAACCTGTTGCCTGCAGAAAGCTATTTGGGACGCCATCTTGAACAACAGGGCAGTTCAGGATCTCTGGGGCTCAATCTCTGCAGGTCATATGCAACAAATTTATTTGACAAAATTTTCAAAATATATACGTTTATTCCCCTGCCTCCTCTGTATGATTAATCATACAGAGTCATTTACCTCAGCAACAATTCATCCTACTAGGAGTCTTTTAGATAATTTGAAGAATTCTAGGGTGAAGTTTTATAATTCATATCTGTTCATTGCTTAAAATAAAAGCTTTCTAAACCTTGTTTGAACTTCCTGTATTGCCTGACAAAGGCCAGAGACATGTTTAGCTAAAGCTTGCCTGCACTTGTGCTTTACAATGGTTGCTTGTCTTCAATTTATAGAGCACTTTATCTTGTTGTCTTGTTGTTTCTTTTCTTAAAGGAAAAATTTGCTGTCGGGTCAGGGCCTGAAAAATTTTTATGTCTCGTCTCAAGGCTGCTAACTTCTCGTCAATGGACATGGAATGTGATGAATGTGTGTTTTGGACTATTTAATGCTGTCATAAATTCTCACACACACTCTCTCTTAATGTATATTTAAATGTGTTTGATTGTTCCTAATATGTTACAGGAAGGCTTGTTTAACCTTGTCCTGCATTAAAGTGAGGTCGGTGCATTCTTCTTGATAGCAAAGTTGCGGGCTGACATGAAGTTGGACATGCTTAAAGGCTGAAGATCGTCACTCCAGTCTTCCTTGTATGTGTGGTATTTATAAAGGTATTTATTTTCAAGTGCTTAGAATGCTGTGAATAGGTTTTTTGATGTGAAAATTATAGCTCTATCTCTGGCTTTCATATTTCAACTATTGAGCCTGGTAATAATGGTTCAATTTTGACACTAACTAGAACAGTTGTCCTGCAGTTCTTTGGTGTATGTTTCTCTATATAATCAATTGTTAAGCATATTTTAAAGCTTATGGTTATCACAGTATTCTTAATGTGGTGTAACATGAATGCGTTATTGGTAGGAAGTGCAATTAATCTCCCAATCTGGCCTTACTCTGACATATTTGTAGCAAAATAGGCAGGAATAATACCAAAGTTTCTGGCTTTTTTTAAGAAGCTTTGGTGTGCTTGTTATCCAGTTGGGCCTTCCCTGCAATTCATTGCTAGTTAGGAAATTGTAAATAGCTATCTTTATCTCACACACACACACATATAGAGGAGTTTCAAGGGGAAGATAATTAATCTTTTGTTTTGTAACGCGCAGAATTGAGTGTAATAGTTTCCCAAGCTTATTTTCCAAGGCAAAGTGGGCAGTACCAAATCGAAACACTAACCTGATCATAGCAATGAATCACAGAAGCTAATAATTATGTTTACCAACAACTTGCACAAACTAATGAATTACAAAATTGTAATACTAAAGCTAATTCCTAAGCGATCTCTAAAGTATTAAAGGTGTATAAGCCAATATATTTGTTTCTGTCAATAGTTGTATTCACAAGCTGTAAATGTAATATTTCACGAAAGGCAAAAATATTATTGCAGATTATTATGTCAGAGGTTTATTTAGCTATCATTTTAGCTTCAATTGACTATGTAGAATTTAACACAGACTCACTTTTTAAAATTTGGTCTTTTGACTTACCTTTTCTTATTGTTGTCGTGATTTTGAATTGCAGAATTTGGATATTGACATCGATAAGGAAGGAGACGAGCAAAAAACAAAAAAGAGAAAAGTGGTAGTTGCAAATTATATGGTAACAGTAGCCACATTAGTAGTTTGGTGGCATGAGAAACATATAGTAAAGGAGCCTTATTTGGACTTTAAAGTAGCACATGAAATATATCTAAGGCACATGAAATATATCTAAGGCGTCTTTACTATGGAAACAATAGAGTTTGTGTAGAGCAATTTCGACTCAATAAACATTATTTTACTATTTTATGTACAAATTTAAGAGAGCATTGTGGGTTGAGGGATACTAGAAATATTACTGTTGAAGAAGCAGTTGCAATGTTTCTCTATGTTCTTGCTCATAACTTTAAAAATCGCACTGTCAATTTTAATTTCATAAGATCAAGTGAGACAGTTGGAAGATACTTTAATATAGTTCTACGTGCTATCATAAAATTGGGGAAACAATATCTTATCCAGCCTGAAACGGAAATGGAAGGTTACGAGCATGAAAAGTGGGAATGGAAGCAATTTTTTATTTAATATAATTTAATTAAAAAAAACAAGAATTTTTTTTTTTTTGCAGAAAAGGAACTTATTTGTTTTTTTTTCTTTAAAGCTTTAGTAACAATTAGTTAAATGCAAGAAAAAATAAATTATTAAAGGCACTAATTGGCTTTTTCCTTAAAGCTTTAGTAACAATTAGCTAAATGTTAAAAAATTATTATATAGTAAAAAAAAAGAAATTTTTTATGTAAGGAAATGTTAGTTGGAAACAATTCTAATTGTAATGAATTCTTCTCCCATCCAAACAAAGAATTTGGAATTCTAAATGAATTCTGTATCAATTCTATGCATTTCCCAAACAAAAGAATTTCAATGTTTTGGAATTCCAATTCATGGAATTCTAATTCTATAGAATTCCAATTCCAATTCAATTCCAATTCTGTTGAACCAAACGCACCCTAAAAGTTAAAGCTCCTTCCGTCTTCTTCTGCTTTAAATTTGGTTTTGAGCATTCTTGGCTCTGGTCGAAGACAAACAAGAACACGTGGCTCTTTCTTAGATTGGCAAGTGTGGTAAAGAGGAACAGAAAAATGCAACATATATATATATATATATCTATATATACAAGGCAAGGACATGGTTGGATAATAAAAGGAAACAAGAACTAACTTTTTTTTTTGTTTTTTGGATTATATTAATGTATGGATAATCCCTTTCTTGGCTATGGCCGAAGCTGGACAAATAAGAACACGTGGCTCTTCCTTTAGATAGGTAAGTGTTGTAAGAGAAACATAAAAAAAAACATCTTCCCAAAAAAATATATACACACGCACACAAGGACATGGCTTTGATAATAATATGTTAGGTTAATATTTTTTTGGAGAAAAATATAAAAAGAATTAACTCTTTTTCATTTTTTTCAGATTCTATTGTTGATATGAACAATCACTTTTTTTACTATGGCGAAGCAGGACATATAAGAATGCGTGACTCTTCCTTAGATAGACAAGTATTGCAAGAGAAATCTTCCCCAAAATATGCATATATATATATATATATATATATATATATATATATATATATATGATGACTTGACAATAATCTCTTAGGTTAATATTTTTTCTGGAGAAAAAATAAAATGGATTAACTCTTTTTGGGTTTTTCTTTTTTGGATTATATTGTTCATACGGATAATGACTTTCTTGCCTGCGTATAAGGTTTTCCCTTCGTTTCAATTTACTTCGCAGCAATGCTCTGAACATGTCAGCCAACTGCCCTGCCATACTGCATTATTTGCCGATTGCCAATGATAGTCCATCCTTCAGGCAACTTGAGATCTCACTAAACTCAGTACTTATTGGTCTCCGCAAACCCGACGTAATTTTTTTCAGGAATAAATTCAGAAACTTCCCTTGAGTTTGTGATAATTTCACTTAGCACCTTTAAACTTTAAAAATCACTTGCCTTCACTTGCATAACACTCAATTGTAGATAGAGAATATAATTTCATTTCAGTGTTTTGCCCTTCTCTTGTGAACCATTTTGTTGACATAACAAAACTAGTTAATCTCTTAACTTTTGAACACTTGGCCAATGTGATTTTTTAATTAGGAATTGCAAAGTGTTAACAAGGTTGAAAGACCTATTAATAATTTTTGCGTCATTAGTCTGCACAAAAAATCTACTAAAAATTTGAAAATCTAAGTAATTTGGAAAATTCACAAAAGTTGCCTAAGAATTGTACAATGAAAATAATAGCATTTTTCACCTTCAAAACACCTCAAATATGTTTTTAAATTTATAGTTAAGAATTTATCTTATTCGAGTTTTCAAGCCATTGATCTGGTCAAAGAATTATAAAATTCAAAAAAAATTGTACACAATTCTTAAATCCTTAATTTCATATAATTTGCGATCTTTGAGAAAACCTCAAATGCATTTTCGAACATAAATATTTTGCCTTTTTTATGATTTACAAGCCATCACTCTAGACAAGGAATTTAGAAATTTTGTTAAAAAATTTTAAATTTTGAAAAGCTCCTCAAATTAACCAAAAGCATTTTATAATAAAGGAACAATCTTTTTTGACTTGAAAACACTTTGAATATATTATTAAAATAAATTTTTGGTACATTAAAATATCTAAGATTATACTGTATCAATCAAAATTTACACATTTGTACCGTTTGTTTTATTTTTAGCTTTTTATTACATGCTTTCAATTTTGAAAGAAAAAAAAAAAAAGTAAGACAACAAAGGGCACATTTGGAATGAAAATAACTCCGCTATCCAAAATTTGAGTTTTTAAATATTATGTTTTGTAAAAGGTTGTCAATGTTACAAAAAGTTAAAAATAGGGAAGACAAATGATTTTTTTTTTTTTAAATTAAAGGGTGCTAAGTGAAAATTTTAGAAACATCAAGGGAGGTTTGTGCAATTATCCCTTTTCTAATGCATAAAAAACACAACGAAGATAAGGTAGCACTTTGATTCTCATCCGATGCCATTCAAAGGGGATGATCTGTCAAAACACAAATTAGAAAACTTATGAACTTGATTGTCTTTTTCTTCAGAGTTTGATTGCACATGAATTTCCAAGTAAACTTGGAACATTGATCTATTAGGTACCATAACTCATCATCGAATTAATTATCCATTTGGTATGTGAGGTCTCAAGTCTTCAGCTGCAATTGTGCAATTGTGCATCACTAATCAAACAAATTGGCATTAGTACTCGCAGTTCATGGGGTGCCCTGAGGAGAGTTCTTACAGCACAAAAGACTCAACAACATTAACTGCAGCACAGCAAATCACTTCCCAAACTACCAATCTTGCAGCCTCTATACAGGTGGATCTATCTACCTCAAATAATATATAATGAAACAAGCGGATAAATTAAAGATAGACAGAGGCAAGAGAGATCACTTGCACCAACCATCTTTGCACTCAACCTGCAAGAAAAAAGATAAAAGCATCAAGTAGAAAGATTGTGAATAGCTCAAAAAGAAAGAATGTGAATAAAACAACAGTTTCGACTCTGGAGTTTCTCTGCAATACAAATAAAAAAACCAGGCAAACAAAGAGAAGGGCTTGACAAGAAATCACGAAAGAACAAGAAGACAAGCTTTGCACAATGCTTCATTAACAAATCACAGTTAGATCTCGGATCTGTCACTGTTCGTACTAGCCACACTTTAAAATCAACAAGGTTATTTCCTAATCAACCATCCAAACTCGAAAGCTAAAATACCTTCGCCCCAGATCGCCTTGACATCTTCCTAATTGCCAATAGCAAAGGAGCAGTAGTAACTAATTTGAGTGGGAAGGATTATGAATATTGGAACTACTGCTTTGTTTTGATTTGAGGTTTTGAGGTGGAAATGGGAAGTGGAGCTGCTGCCTTTCTGGCACACCTCCATTTAATAGCTGTGAGCAGCAGTTAGTTACGCTAGTGTACTTTCCATTAACTTCAGTCAAAGGTGGTTTTCTCTGGTTATGATGATTGCTTCTACTTATGGGCAAATTGCAGTTTCGGTCCCCTCACCTATCAATTCTGTAAATTTATTCGCTCACACATTTTGAAGGAATAGAGAAATACAAATGATAAAGGGATACAAACACAAGAGACTCGTATGTTAGATGTGGCTAACTGTTTTGTTGAATGGACTATACGATTGCAGACCAATTGCTCGGTGCATCCATGGTGAAGATGTGTTTAAGTTGATTTTTTTTGTCAATCGACAATATCTACAATATTTTTATTCTAATTTATATTATAAGAGAGTTTAAGTGTTTAACTGGATCAATAGAAATAAGATGCAGAGAAACCTACTTTTAGACTAAAAAGGTACATTACTACTCACCATTTACCTCTAAATTTTACTGTAAATGCAAAAAATTAAACCTCGACAGTTTTTTAATGAGTACCAAATTTTGTCATGTTTTTACATGGTAGTGTTTTAATATCTGCATTTGTTAAATTAATGCATACATGAGATGGTATTACGGACCGGCATTGTCAAAATTGGTAACTGCATTGGATCCCCCCTCCCCCCTAAAATAATTAGCTACCATATTAGCTTGAGTGACATCCTTTCTTTTCGTTTGATAAGCTGCAAGATTAGCTTGAGTAATAGCAAGGGGACCAAAATAAGACCAGCTAAATGTAGAATTGGGGTTTTTCCCTTTATGTGTCATGATTCGTTGGAACTTCGCATGATCCCTTCTGTCTCATCGGCCCTAATGAACTCAGAAGTCAAGAATTCCCACTTAGCAGTCTAGGTGACAGAAGGAGGGAGTGAAGTGGATTAGCCTCGTACCTCAATTCAAAACAAGTGAGAGACATTTATTTACCAAATTTTAGGCTAGCAGCATAATTTTTTCCTTAAAATACAATGACATGGTTAAATTAACTTTAGAATAGAAATGTGTGCAATCCTAAATTTGGAAAAATGGTTACCCCTAACAATTGTTCTTGCCTTGTGCCATGAGAGTAAATAAAGATATTAGGTGGTAAATGCAAATTTCTCTTCTTAAATGGGGTGGTAGGGGCAGAAAAAGAGAAGGATTGCAAGAATGCATGAGACCTTGATTCTAAGGCCTACCAGTGCATGTATTGGTAGGTCGTGTCATGGTTACAAGCATAGTTTGCCGTGCTATTCTCACAAGGATCCACAACTTGAAAAAGCCACAAAGGGGATTAAAAGGTTGATTTTTCCTAGGATGACAATTGATACATTCCCAAACAACAAAAGACATTCTTAATTTCCTTTTAAAGCTAAAATCATTAACTACTAACAAGTGGGCAGTGTCTCTTTGTGCTTTTCTTCTTCTTTTTTTTTTAATAAAAAAAAGGTTTGAATAAGTTTGGTTTGATTATCACCACAAATCAGGCATGTACTAGATCATAGATCGCTTATAGGGGTGCTTATAAATTATTCATCAACATAGTTTTCGCATCGATAGCAGAATTCAAATATCGACAGTAAGATTCAAAAATTTTAAGGCTTAACATTTACTCAAGTCAGGCCTCGGGTTTGGACAAGTTAAGTATAACCAGTGGATTTTACTTCGCTTTTTCTGTCTAAAAGAAAAGAAGAGAGAGGCTAGGATGTTTGACCGAAGTAGTGGAACTACTAACATATTCGATCAGCAAGTTCAAAGCATAGATAAGACCACACGGACTACAAAATCTTGTAAATTTGGCTACGCATGGTTAACGGCTTTTAATTTGACTGTTCATGATGATGACTATTGGAATTGTAACTTTGAGGGGAAAAAAAAAAGAGCTGGAGGATTGACGAAGAATAGAAGCATGGATAAGGAAAAAAAAATGGAAGAAGAAGAAGAAGAAACCATCTTTGATAAACCGCCTAAAACATGACTAAATTTCTTTGGCCTGCTCATGATTGAATCACAGCTCGGCGGTGGGTCATTAATCATAGAAGTTGATGGGAGGAAGGAGAACATTGTAGAATTGGTTTTAGTTTTCAAAGTTTACTGTTTTCTTTGGGTAAATTACAGAATAGCTTCTAAAGTTTGGTACAATTAAGTATGGCCTGAGGTTTGATAATAGGAATGAATATTAACTAAATCATTTCTTTTCTTTGAATAATTCCAAGTCTTTACAAAAGGTGCAAAGTTTAATCGAAAACAATAATGTAAAGATAAGTCCAAATTTATAACAATGGCCCAATTTTAACTAGACATCCCTAAGAATTTATTTTACAAGAATCAGGTTTGACTAAATGAACCAATGACGCTTTTAAGAGCCTAATCAAATTGTAAACCCAATAAACAAGACTCTTTAATGGATGGACTTAACTCAGGGCTAAACAGAAAGAAAATTTTCTATAAAGGAAAACCTTATAAATCAGAAAATTTTCGAGAAGGGGCAAACATTCTTTTTTTTTCAGGAAGCTATTCAAGTATATTTTATAGAAAGTCGAAACATATTTTATAGGGTTACTAAAGAAAGAAATAAGTGCTTTTGAGAGTAAGACATGAGAACTAATTAAGGTATATATGTTATTGACTATAGGTTTGAAACAAGTTTAAGGGCGCATTAAGAATCTCTTCAAGAGAGGAGTTTGAGGTATGTGGTACTTACCCTTCTGAGATTTCAAATGTGCAAAATGAATTTTTTTTTTGTTTTTAATACTATTTTGTTGCGTGGACAAGGAATGTATTTGATTAAATGCTTTGTTTGAATATTTATGAAAGTTATATTTTCCTATACAAAAATGGACCATGTGACTTATTTGAAATATTTTGATACATTATTGTATACCAAACGAGCTAAATCTTTTATGAAATCAAAGATCTATATATGTGACATATGAAATGAATTTTTGACAAGTAAAACTCAAAATGGTCATGGAATAGACAGTAGGGGCTATAGTCCTGTCTAATCGTCATAGTAGTCTGGTATAAAGTTCGACCGATTGACAAGATCATGGTAACCTGGTATAGAGTCCGGCCGATTGACAAAGTCATGGTAGCCTGATATAAAGTCCGACCGATTGACAAGGTCATGGTAGTCTGGTATAAAATCCGACCCATTGACCAATGTATGAAATGAGACCAATCAGTAGTCATGAAACCTATTGATCGCCCACCTAGAAGGGGTTTAATCTCTAGGTTGAGTGCTTAGTAGCCGATCATTACATATACTTGTTATGAGCTAATATGAAATGAGTTATGAGATGATATGAAATGATTTACAAACTGATATGAAGAGACTTATGAATTGTTACGAAATGTTTTATGATTTTATGATTTTTCATGTATAGTTATTAATAAGATGCTTTTAAATTACTTGTCACTCGTTACTCCTGATTGTTTTACAAACAATGTTGCTTTCATGTTTACGGATGTGAACGATGTGCCAATGATTTTGATTTATATCTATATATATGTATCTATAAAGTTATGAGTGCATGGTCCAACAGAGGAGTGGATATTACCTACTGAGCGAGTGTCGCTCAACCCACTTTTTACCATCCTTGCAGATTTTGAAGAATATGAGTTGGTTTACGTAGAAGACCCTGAGGACGACTTTTATTAGCTTTAAATGAATAGAAGTTGGCAGGCTAGCTACTTCTAGTTGTTAGTTTATTTACATCCGTTTCTGTTGTTTCGATTTGAGGATAATTGTACGAACTTATTGGATATTCGTAGATTACCTTTTTAGACATTTGTACCGCACTTTACCTAGTTATATTATTTAGTACTTTTAAAGTTTAGTATAGTATGATGTTGCCTTATATTCTTGAACGATACTTGAGGATACAGCGGATGCCACGTGACGGGCGTGTGCGGGCTCGGGGCGTGATATTTTTAGTGGTATCAGAGTTTAGGTTTTATGATCTGGAAGTGTGAGAAATGATGTTTGGATATTAATGATTTTGAAAATTGAAAGGAAATGGAAAACCAGATCAAAAGAAATAAGAGATTGCTTTGACTTTTTAGCAGTACCAGAGCTCAGGTCATATGATCTAAAAGTATGTGAAATAGTGTTGGAGATATTAGGGATTTTAAGTATTGAAATGAGATAAAAAAAAATACAGGATTAAAGGAAATAAAATATTTTCATGATTTTTAATATTATCAGAGTTTTGATTATGAGCATTGGGTACGATTTACTCTGTAGAGGAAATACACATTAGGAAATGATCAATTGTGACTGAATAAATCGGCTTGAAAAAGTTGCATGTGTGATTTAAGTTGGAAATGGTACTATAGGTGTTCATGATATCCTTTTATTGGATATGGTTTTGGTGGTACATTCTAAATTTAAGCTGTCGGATGTGTAGGAAATATTATGTATATCTGAAGTATTGTCTGCAGGAAATTGAAAGTATCAAGGGATTAAAGTACGTATACAATACATGTTGGATCTTGGAATTTTGTTGACTTATTTTGAGGGTAGCAACTCCAATCCAGTATCATTAATTGCTGGTGATTTGCCAATAATAGAGAACAATTCATGCCCAAATAAAGGTGATTTAAACGTGGCTTAAATCCAAGCTGTGAATTTTGAAAAGAAAATTTTCTTTTAAATATTTATACGAATAGTTGAGGTTGAGCTAATTGAGCATGACCATATCTAGGTCACAAACCAGACTCCACAATGGCAATTGTAGAGGCCCTTTACTCCCTCATAAAAGATTATATGTATTTGAATCTTACTGTCGATATTTGAATTCTGCTATCGATGCGAAAACTATGTTGATGAATAATTTATAAGCACCCCTATAAGCGATCTATGATCTAGTACATGCCTGATTTGTGCTGATAATCAAACCAAACTTATTCAAACCTTTTTTTTATTAAAAAAGAAGAAGAAGAAAAGCACAAAGAGACACGGCCCACTTGTTAGTAGTTAATGATTTTAGCTTTAAAAGGAAATTAAGAATGTCTTTTGTTGTTTGGGAATGTATCAATTGTCATCCTAGGAAAAATCAACCTTTTAATCCCCTTTGTGGCTTTTTCAAGTTGTGGATCCTTGTGAGAATAGCACGGCAAACTATGCTTGTAACCATGACACGACCTACCAATACAT